ATATACACTCTTCACTTCCGGTTTCTCGCCTCTACAGCTGTTTCTTGCGATTTCATCAGGTTAATTAGCGCTAACATTTGGGTCATTGTATAATGTGAAGGTCTTGGAACATTTGAAGAAAGTTATATATTGTAGCTTGTTGACAGCGTGCATTACACCAGTGCAAACACAAGACACTAACTTTCCGCATCAACACAAACACTTAATGCTAAACCATCGTCAGTTTTTGTACAATTTGGTTTCGTAAATAACTAGAATTGAATGTTTTACGAGATCTATTTTTTGCCAATAAAATAATAGGATCAATTAGATGTGTAAGTAGCAATTTTTATTTAAATTTCTTCAAAATTATTTTAAGAAAACAGATTGGATGTATTAACCAAGATATTTTAATGTATTTGTAAGATAATGCTTATTTTCCAGGACGGGGGCTTTTTTAGTAAACCACTAAATAACGATGGACCTTGCCTCTTAAATAGATTAGCAATAGTAATCACCTAGAGGAAAGCAATAATGACTATGTCCTTTACAACAATAATAATAATAATAATAATAATAATAATAATAATAACAATAATTACCATAATAATAAAATATTTTAAACGTTACATACTCCTTATTATTGAGTCCATTCTTATTGATATGCAATGTCATATTGAAAATAATACTCGTATATTACGCTCTAAACCCTGGCCTTTGTTTTGTATTAATATCGTCGATCAGCCAGTTATTGTTTTATATTGAATTTCATGAAGTTTATTGGAATATAGATGAAATAAATGTTCCAGCAACTCCCACCGCAGAGATTCGTTCGTGGATTTGCAGCGGGAAGTTCCAGTACCGGGAAAGTTTGCAGACAAAAGAGCAGCTCTTATCAGATATCGGGAAGCCTGGTGCGAGTTCGGGTCAGCAACAAGTAGCCCGCTTAGACCGCGTTTGCAGCCGGCCCTTCCTGTTGAAGTCGCCCATTTGCCGCTACAAATTAACGGAATAATTAACGATTGATTGATTAGTGATTCCGGGCGCGTGATCTGCTCAAGTCTCGTAAGTTTAGTGTACGTTTTTTGGTCGGGAGGTGGCAGTGATCTTTCCCTGCCAGATAGTGAGGCCCTACCTCGACCTATCCGTACCGTCAAGCTAGCGAAATTTTCCCCAACAAAGTATATCCCTCTAGCGGGACACCGCCCTAGCCTGAATAAACTCTTAACTCCCGACCGGTCTCGCGGCATGTGTGATAGT